CGGTCAGGTGGTAAGTCAAGTATTGTACCGGTCAGGTGGTAAATCAAGTCTTGTAAGGTTCATGTCGTAAATAGTCTTGTACCGGTCTGGTGGTTAATCAAGGCTTGTACCGCTCAGATCGTAAACAGTCTTGTACCGATCAAGTGGTAAATCATGTCTTGTACCGGACAAATGGTAAATCAAGTATTATACCAGTCAGGTGATTAATAATCTTATACCGGTCAGGTGGTAAATCAAGTCTTGTACCGGCCAGGTGGTTAATAGTCTTGTACCGGCCAGAGGGTAAATATTCTTGTACCGGTCAGGTGGTAAATAATTTTGTACCGGCCAGGTGGTAAATAGTCTTGTACCGGCTAGGTGGTAAATAGCCTTGTACCTGCTAGGTGGTTAATGGTCTTGTACCGGTCAGGTGTAAATAGTCTTGTACCTGCTAGGTGGTAAATAGTCCTGTACCGGTCAGGTGGTAAATAGTCTTGTACCGGCCAGGTGGTAACTAGTCTTGTACCTGCTAGGTGGTAAATAGTCTTTTACCGGCCAGGTGGTAAATAGTCTTGTACAGATATGAAAATGTAAAAATTGTCCTGTTATCAGAAAAAGATTCCTCGGCTCTGTGACCTGTTGGTAACAAACCGAAAATGTGTCCGTGGTCTGTACCACACCGGTCAGTCCATTGTGTTGACCAGTACATGTAGCACGGTTTTAGTCAGTGGCCGGTAACACACCGCTAAGTCTATTATGATGACCAGTAGCACGGCTATTACTCAGTTGCCGGTAACACACCGGTCAGTATATTGTGATGACCAGTAGCACGGCTATTACTCTGTGGCCGGTAACACACAGGTCAGTCTATAGTGATGACCAGAAGCACGGCTATTACTCAGTTGCCGGTAACACACCGGTCAGTATATTGTGATGACCAGTAGCACGGCTATTACTCAGTGGCCGGTAACACACCGGTCAGTCTATTATGATGACCAGTAGAACGTCTATAAGTTTATTTCGACTGGAGCTCTGACAACACAACCTTGCGCAGTAGATTTGCATTTCTTATGGCTGTTATAAAAGACTTAACAAGTTGTGTTCAATTGCCGGTAAATATATCAATACAGCTCGGGCCACTGGTCCAGGCCTGTAGGCCGACAAGGCGACATCAAACGGCACGCTAACACAGCTGAAATCTACAGGTAACGGATTAAAAGTTTCTTTTGAAAAAGGTTTAAGCAAATAAAAAAAAATAAAAAAAATCAGAAAATGAGTCATCATTTCATGATATATCTTCATGCGCTTTTCTATTATTATGTACTTAATCTGTACATAGATTTTACTTTCACTGACTTGAATTACAAACGATGCTTTAACTGTTGACTAATAAACTACAAAATGCCGTTTATCCGCATCAACTGTTAACGACGGCGTGTCTACATGTGATCACAAATACTTACAAAGGAATTAATCTTTAAAGAAAATGTTAATGTTTTCCATTAAAATCACGTTCAAAGAAAGCATGTGATTCTTATTTACTTTGAAATCACGCAAAAATATAAACCATTTTCTGTTTTTATATTTAAAGCAACAGATGACCTTTGAGTTTTAACGGAAATTAACCTATTGTAACTACGAAAATGATATATGATTCTCCTGTCTATTCAAGGAAATTGATATCTGAGCTTTGATTCCTATAATGTCTCCTATCTTTATCTTAAGTTTGCCCCCCCCCACCCCCCACCCCC